CACGGTCAGACTATAGATGTAGAAGTTGCTCATAGTGTTTAAAGAACTGACCGAGAGTGCAAATCTATAAAACGTGGTGTGGAATGAACTCTTGCTCTTGTCTTCTACACTATCGAAAAATCCCCCAATATGGTAAGCAATGTAGGGTAGGAGGGAGAAGCAGAAGACTGTGGCTGTAAGGACAGTTGTTACGATCCCCTGCCACTTCAAACTTTTTCGGCTCTGCGAAGCGATTTTTCTGGCTTCAATCAGCAAAAAAAAGGTAGTTAATACAACCATGCATGTCGAAATAAATACAATTAGCACTATCACAAAAGGCGTCAGATAGTGCCAAATCTCTGATGAGAAACCATATCCGCATCCATAGGCTCTATACGAAAAGGAAACATCATCTTTATCTACGAAAAGGATTGTTATAGGTACGGCGGAACCTAGCAACCAACATGCCACGCAGATCAAGTGTGCTCTCTTCGAAGTGGTTGCTCGAAATTTGAAGGGATATTTCAATTGGAGCAGCTTGCTGGTTGTCATAATAGAGATGAGAAGTGAACTCGTTGCGCCTAAAAAGTACGCTGAATAGGAGTTCAAGTAGCAGAAGAAGTGTCCTAACACCCACTTATCAGAGATGATAGAGACCATTCTTTGGAGATGGTTAAAAGCAGATACCATCAGGTCACAGAATGCTATGTGCTGAATGACGACAATGATGACTCGGTGAAGCTTAAAGGCCTTGTACTTTATCGACGCTATGAGAATCGTTGTGTCTCCTATGAAAGATGAGACAATGACGAATAGATAGTATCCGGCCCAAGTGTATCGTATGGCATCACTTTTAACCCCATAAGAAGTTTTGTTACCGTACTCATCATGATATAGGGTTTTTGTCATGACAAATTGTTTGAGAAAATTGACAACTATTGAATGAGCGACAAAAGGAAAATGAGCTATAAATTATGAGTGTCAAATATTAATATTCCTATTTATTTCCTCATAATGATATGATAGATTATTCCATATAATATCTTGGGGGGGCGAGAGGAAATTTTGCTACTCAATCTACAGATTAAGAGGAACGAGGTTTATCTCGGTTGTGGGAGACCTCGAGAGATCACTGGATACTAGGACCAAGCCTGCTAAATCATTCTACACTCGTTTCCATAAACGAGGCGGAGTTCATCAAACCACTGTAATCTGTACTGTAGAGATATTAAACGCATACTGTTAGTTGAGAGTTACATAGTATTCCATTGTCCATACTGTGACAGGATATATGTAGCCAGACCAGGGTACCTCTACTTTACATTCGACACCGTCTGCTACAACGATCCTAATTTCTATCAAAGCTGTGGTATCAATATTTGAAGTCGAGCTTCAAATATGGTATTATAATATCTCTAATAATGCATCACGTATCACAATTAAACTGGTGTTTGTTGACTACCTTCATTCACATTTCCAGTGTTCGCTTCTGTGCTTGCAGTGCCACTCGCCTTTCCTCCTGAAAAAAGAAACTGTACAAAAACCTCATTAATGTAAAATATCCGTATCTATTTAATTATAATCCTGCTGTTAAGACAAAAGGGTTGATAAATAAACATTTTTTAAATTTTTTTAAAGAGAGGCTGGGCCAAGATAGCCCACGAGAGGATAGCATTGAGATGCTCTGCCTACCTCAGTACCTCTGGGGTGTGGCAACCCTGGGGAAAGTTGCCGGTGAAATCAGAGTGAATGGTGGAGGATGGTGTAAGAAGTGATATGAGTCAAAATGATACGCTTAAATGCCAGCTGGGTTTGGAAAAGTAAAACGAGACGAAACAGCATTTGAGATAATAATTTAAGTCACCCCGGTCTGATCCAGCTCTTCCGGCACAATTAAGCGTTTGGTGCGGTTTGTGAAATTGACAATCGTGGTGATGTGTTGGTTGTCGAATATTTCATTGACAGAGAGGTAGTAGTCCTGGAAATATTGACCTCTAATTTGGGCAATAGCCGGACACTGTCCAAGGAAGTGTGAGACAGTTTCCTCTCCGTCGCTGCACATAGGACAAGCACTGGTGTTTGATTTGCAAATGGTGTGAAGGTGTTTGTTTAAACTGCATTGACCCGTGATGAGGTGAACTGCAGTTCTGTAATCTTGTCTGTTTTTGCTGAGTGTAGTGTTGAGGTTTTTGATGATTTTGGCGTGCTTGTGGCCGAGTGTCAGTTTGGTGTGTCTGGGACCGTCAGTTAACCAAGTTTCCTGATTCAGTCTGTTGACTTTGTTGTCTATTTGACGCTTGATAGCTTGATGTAGGATTGTGGAATTGGACACTTCAAAGTGGATTCACTGATTGTACCAAGCTTGGCCAGCTCATCTGCTTTTTTGTTCCCCCATAATCCGATGTGTGCTGCAATCCATCGTATCTCTAGCGTGTTGTTGGATCCGAGTGCATTAAGAGAGTCGTAACAGTCTCTTGTAGTTCTACTACGCGTTGAAAGCGCAGAGATAGCTTGTATAGATGAGAGACTGTCAGACCATATGATGATATGTGTGTTGGTATAGGTAGAGAGATATTTGCAAGCTTCAATGATGGCGGTGAGCTCTGTTTGGTAAACAGTACAAAAATAAACATACAAAAATAAACATTATAGTATGAATAAATCAATATTCAATTACCATGACTTGTTTCCGAGTTGGTTATGTACTGATAAGACAGCTGCAACTTCGACCGGATAAATGCTCTGAAGCTAGACACGGTCAGACTATAGATGTAGAAGTTGCTGATAGTGTTTAAAGTTGTGACCGACAGTACAAATCTATAAAACGTGGTGTGGAATGAACTCTTGCTCTTGTCCTCTACACTAACGAAAAATCCCCCAATATGGTAAGCAAATGCGGGTAGGAGGGACAAGCAGAATACTGTTGCTGTAAGGACAGTTGTCACGATCCCCTGCCACTTCAAACTTTTTCTGCTCTGTGGAACGATTTTTCTGGCTTCAATCAGCAAACAAAAGGTGGTTAATACAACCATGCATGTCGAAATAAATACAATTAGCACTATCACAAAAGGCGTCAGATAGCGCCAAATCTCTGATGAGAAACCATATGTGCACGAATAGGCTCTATACGAAAAGGAAACATCATCTTTATCTACGAGAAGGAGTACTATAGGTATGATGAAACCTAGCAACCAACATGCCACGCAGATCAAGTGTGCTTTCTTCGAAGTGGTTGCTCGAAATTTGAAGGGATATTTCAATTGGAGCAGCTTGCTGGTTGTCATAATACAGATGAGAAGTGAACTCGTTCCGCCTAAAAAGAACACTGAATAGGAGTTCAAGTAGCAGAAGAAGTTTCCTAACACCCACTCATCAGAGATGATAGAGACCATTCTTTGGAAATGGTTGGAAGCAGATACCATCAGGTCACAGAATGCTATGTGCTGAATGACGACAATGATGACTCGGTGAAGCTTAAAGGCCTTGTACTTTATCGATGCTATGAGAATCGTTGTGTCTCCTATAAGAGATGAGACAATGACGAATAGATAGTATCCGGCCCAAGTGTATCGTATAGCATCACTTTTAATACCATAAGCAGTTTTGTTACCGTACTCATCATGATATAGGGTTGTTGTCATGACAAATTGTTTGAGAAAATTGACAACTATTGAATAAGCGCGAGAAGGAAAATGAGCTATATAAATTTTGTCTATCAAATATTAATATTCCTATTTATTTCCTCATAATGATATTATAGATTATTACATATAATATCTTGAGGGGGGCGTGAGGCAATTTTGCTACTCAATCTACAGATTAAGACAAGCGAGCTTTACTTATATGGGAGACCACAAGAGATCACTGGATACTAGGGCACATTAATTTCTGAGCTGATGTAATAGTGTAGTTTCATTGGAAACTGCGTTTTGAGAATGTTCTACCACAATTGATGGTTGAATTTATAACACATGTACTCAATTTTGTCTTTGCGAAGGGCCATATTATTTCTTTCAGATCACTGAATGAAATTTTCTAGATATGTTTGGAGGAGCTTGACGTCTTTATCTAATCTGAGAGAAATTGCTATACGAGTGTCATCAGCAAAACATTGAATCATAGATTGCATGATGCAATGTTCGATATCATTGATAAAAATTAATACTTACTCGAATCAAAATTCAAAAACTAGCCACCAGTGATACAATTTAATTTTCAATATGAAAATTAATTTTTCTGAAGCGAAAATTAATTTTAGTGACCCAGAATTTCGGAAACGCTATCAAAATTTTCACACGATACGAAATACCAAACTAGCTGAAGCTGTAATAAAAATATTACATTACTTAACTCGATTGCGTGTGATGGTGCTAAATAAATATTTAACAGTGACTAATCAACACCTGTTTGGTGTGGCGATGTTTCTATTTTGTATTCGGATCTGAGAAAGAATTGATACCTTCTAACCCGAAACCTGTACCTTCTTAAACCCCTAAACACATAACTTCTCCCTTACTTGCGATGTTTTTTTACTATTCTACTTTATAACTTGTTAGATAATATATCTTCGTTGCATATTCGGAGATGGTATTGCACTACAAAACATGGTATAACAAAGAATCAAAATGTACGTATTTTTGTTATCCTTCTGTAATTTAAACATGTGATTACTATGACGATATTATCAAGATGCTTTTGCATGTTGTGTCTCAATTTTTATGAAATAAGGACGAATCTTGTTAAAATAGTCGTCAAAATTAATTGAGTTGTCAAATTTAATTGTGCATGTTTCCGACTAAGAGTGTACTTTGTCGTCTCTTCACTCAAACTTTCTGTGACAAGATCGCCAAGTGCGCTCTCAGAAAACAAATGATTACTAATTACTATGCCGATAATATCACGAACATGCTTTTGTATTCATTATATCCCGACTTCTGTAGACGAGAAGAAATCGTGTTGTTACCAACTAGCTCCACCTCTTCTAACATGAAAATTAAAATTATGTGACATATTCATTTCAGTGACGAGACCGCCAAGTACGCTATCAGTACGCTCAATGACAAGTGTACGCAGCACTGAGTCGATCCTCACTACTCGCAGTTCACCTGTACGCGGACCTACTGCTCAGCGCACCACTAGAAAACCCGTGGGGGCTAACACATCATATGGTTAGTAGATTGATAATTTAGAAGTTTTGGGGATTTAAATTTGTCGACTCAAGATATTTACTTAGGCATGTCATGGGAATTTTTCACTTCTCCAATAGTAATACAATTTTCTGTCACAGTTTGTGTAAGTCTTCACGCCGAATGCATTTCTTATGTATTTCAGCAGCTTGTGTTGTTGCGCGCCACCTAATTGATTATTAATTCGCGCGCATTATTTGACATTGACTGTCCATATTGATTGATTTGAGTGTTATTAAATGAAATTATATTTTAACAGATTGATCCTTGATTATAAGAATAAGCATTTAATCTAAATTACTAAGCTCATTCGGCTTTTTCATAGTTGGTAACCATAGCGATTAAACTCTGGCACTCCAGTAAACAAAGCACCCGGGATAAGACTGTCAGTAGAATACAGTGAGGACACGAGCTTGTTAAAGATAAGGGTGTGGTCAGTACAGTATGTCACAATACCGGGCAGCATCGCTACCAGCAACTCAACCACTCATGTTCGGTGGGTATTTATCGTTAACAACTACACGATATCAATACCATGATTAATGTAAGGAGGGTCATTTATTTAATTATCGTTCATTTATTTATTTAATGTATCGTCAAGAACTGAATCATGGTATAAGGAGTTATCCCAAATTGATGACGAAGTGAAAGAGTATTTATTATTTTATCAAGATATTCCATGTTCTGTTGTGATGACAGTAATAGTACCAATCAATGACTAACGATCGTATTAATTTTAATTCATATTTGTTTCAGGTGTTGTGTGTTTCCTGGAACTAAAATATGGAGTAAAACTGAAGATATTCCCATCGAAAAATATCTTCCAAGCAAAGGTAAGCCTCGCAAACAAAATAAGTAAATGGAGAATGGGTTATTTTGACCACAGATTTTTGTATTCGTGCTTTAAAGAGATCCGTGAAATCAATTAAAGGTTCTCGAAGCACGTTGTCACAAAAGAGGTAACTAAGTGATGTTAAATATGTGACCAGTAACTGTTGTACAGATGCTGAAAGTGGTGTTCAGAGTAAAGGTACGAACTTTGACCAGCCTCTGACGCTGCAGTCCGTTCCCATGGACAGAAAGATGACCTTCAAATCAATCTCAGGTTTCTGAACCTAAACATTCTTTGTCACCATTATTTTGATTTTTGTAATTGCTGTAATTCTGTATCATTTGATGAAAATTTTAAATCATTTGTTCACTATCCGTTTATCAATTTCTCCGACAGAAAGTGAGTTGGGAGATAAAAACCTGGAGATTGTCCTCTGCTGTAAAACGCCCACTAAAATATCAAGCAAAGTTCATCACATGGCCAAACTCTTCCTCAAGTGAGTTTTACTTTGGATTTGTTTGGAGACTATAATAAAATTAAACATTTCATTACCATCGCCTCAATCTAAAACATTACACTTTAATAAAACAAATATTTTAATAAAACAAATATTTATTTTTACGGCACAATCAAACAATATCAATAATAAATAAATCAGGGGAGGTTTGAAGAGGTTTCAAGTGCCGAAGGCCACTGCTTATCTTTAGGATTTGAGAGTGACCTGTGCTTGAAACCCCCTCAACCATCCACTACGTCAATATACTAATTACAGTATACAAATATAGAAAAATATAATAATCTTAAATTACTTATTGGTTTAGTTTGGTGACAAAGGAGAGCCCAGTTGAGTTTTAGTTTAGCTTTAGGTTTTGAATCACAGTTTAAAAGGTTAGCCATGTTTCATGGCAGAGAGAGATATCATGTGTGCATAGCCGTACCGGATGTAGAGTTTGAGATATAATATAGATTAGTTACCATGTATTAGGGTCATCTCGATTTTGGAGGGATAGCAAGTGCTTTTTAAGGTTAGATTTAATAACACCTGACGAAGCTGATAAGTCTGAATTCTTGGAAGAACCCGGGATTATCAACCCATCTACATTAGCATCACATATTTCGAATACATAGGGGCTGAGGTCATTCCAAATTTTCGTAGAGGTGTACAAAAAGTTTTGTTGGGAGATATCTAACCTCAGTAATGGGACAATCAGACGAAGTTTTTCATTTCTAGGACAGAACTTGAAAAGATCTTTAATCGACTGGGGGACATCAAATTTAAGAATTTTGAATAATTCCATAAATGTATGGTACATGTGCAGATTCTCCAGGTTCATAATTTTCTGCTCGGTGAATAGCGGTTTAGTGTGTTCAAGACAGTAGTTCTTGCTAGCCATATGTTCGTTATAAGTTCTTGAACGTGCACAGGTTAAATAGTATTCTTTATGATCAAAATTGGGAATGTTACCAAATAGCAGTCTTATACATCGTTTTTGAATTGCAAAGATTTTATTCAGCTTATGTTTAGGGATCCCACCCCAGCAACTTATACAATAGCTAAGATGTGACATAAAAAGAGCATTGTATAGTTTCAAATATTCAGATTTGGGAATGAATTTGCAAATTCTCTTAATCGATACAATACTGGAGTTCAGCTTTAAAGATAAATGATTAAGATGTGGTTCCCAGCTTAGCTGTTCGTCTATTATCACCCCAAGAAACTTTGTACATTGAACTTTTTCTAGCTTTTTGCCATCTATTAAAATCGTTAGATTCCTGTTAAAGGGCCGTGTTCTGGCACAGGTCTGTGTTGCTCTTGACAAACCTGGCTGAAAATGCATATAACAACTTTTCCCTGCATTTATATGTAATACTGATATCTGGATATTATCCGGTTGGAAGAGACAAGGACAAGTGAAACAAGGAAGTTAGGAGTAAGGGCAAATTTTCGGCGTCAACGCCATCTTCAGGCTAAAATTGTTATAAATGTTAGTATATAATAAATGCTTCTATACTAGTTAAAATGCTAAATTAAAATTACACACACTGAATACAGGTTACATCAAATGGTATTATAATACATTACATTGAAAATAGTGATGTACACACGTTTTACACTCTGTCCAAGTACATAATATCTACTGAACAGCAGGGTCGTGTGCTATTTGTTTAAATTTGTCTTTGAATATGTTGTAAAAGAAATCCCTTAAGCTTCTCGCACTCTTCTTTGTTATTGATACTAGGTTTAAATAAATTAATGTAGTAAGCTTCTGTCACTTTACGTTTAATGGTGCTATATAAGTTAATTTCTAAAATATCGAAGGAAATATCTGGTTCTATGTTATCGTGAAACTCTGAATAATGAGCAGCCAACGCATTATCAGGATAGGTTAAAGGCCTGTTGACTGCTCTTCGATGCTCTGAAAATCTATCGTGTGCTGTTCTACTCGTTTCCCCTATATATAGCTCTTGACATAATTTACACGTAACTTTGTATATGACACATTTTGGTTTGCAGTCGTGATTTGTTGTGATGAGTGGACATATGATACAGTTTGGTATGGTGCAGTGTGGTTTGTCGTGTGGTCGTGATGAACATAAGATCTCTGAGAGTTTCTTACCTGGTGTGAATATGAATTTGACCGGTAAGTTGTGTGAGAGGGCAAATTGAGTGACTTCTTTGGAAAATGGCTCGTTGATGAATGGTAGAGTGCATGTTACGTGGTCGGTATCTTGTATGTTTGATGATGAAGGGTTATGACGTGTTGTAGGTGAGAGAGGGTGAAGTCGTCCTGTTTTGTTTATACGTCGTGGGTCTTGGTAACCGTTGTTGACCAACAAGTTGTCTACTATCTTCATAGACTCTTCTTTATACTCTGGTGTTGATGAGCAAAAAGCAGCCGTTTTGTAGAAGTTCTTGATGGTTGCTACTTTAGTTCCCTCATTGTGGTGGCTGTTGGCGTGCAGTGTGATATTCTTTTTCTGCTTCTTTCTGTAGAATTTGTGATGTAGTGTTCCCTGTTCGTCGATCTTTATCTGGGTGTCGAGGAATGGGGTGAAATCCTGACGGCTTTCCGGATAGTCAATTTCCCATTTGAGCAACTGGTCTGGGTCCTCGTTTGAGATGGACTCCACTATCCTCAGAGCTTCTTCTTTGGAGCTGGCTAGACTCCCGGCATCATCCACGTATCTCCGGTAGAATGAGACGTGTAAATCAGTGTAAATCGATCTTCTCTCGAACATATATACTCGTACTATCGCTCCTATTGGTGATGGTTGGCACCCCATGAATAGACCAATTTTCTGAAGGTAGAGTCTTGAGTGATATGTAAAGTATGAGTTGGTGAAGACGAATTCAAGGATCTTGTGGATGTGCGTGAGTGTTAGACCCCAGGTGTCGAGGTCTTCCCAATGTTCTTCGGTGAGTGTAATGAGGTCTTGAATGCAGCCACTGATGTTGATGTTTGTGTACAGTGCTGTGACGTCAGCTGTGAAGAATGAGAGACCTGAGAGTTGTTGATGTGACATGTTTTGAAGCTCTTCTAGGTGAGTGTGTATATTGCTCAGGTGAGATGGAACATGATTAAGCAGAGGAGATAGAATAGATTTAACAATCCAAGCAAGCTTCTCAGAAGGGGAATTTATACAAGACACAATTGGACGTATTTTACAATTAGAAATAATATCTACATCTGAAACTAAGACATTACAATCAAATTTATGAGTTTTCTGTATTAAATAAATAGTCGGTAGTTGGGTATTATGTGATTTAAATAAGTCTACTGTTTTGCTGTCATAATTACACATCCTACTTATCTCTGTCCATAACACATTACTCTCAGTCTCTAGTCTCTCAGTAACCCTGTTGATGAGGCGGCTGTAGGAGACTTCTGAGGGGTTTGCTATTGGTTGGATCCGATTTTGTCGCGTGGTGGTAGGTGCAACGTAGGTGTACGCTTCTTGCGAGGTCATGTCTGACAGATGTTTCTGCGTAATCTGCTGTTGTACTCCACTGCTCATAATCACAAACTCACCCCCCTTGTCGCTTCTCGAGAAGTGGAGTTCTTCTTTTCTTGCAATCAAGGATTTGAGTCCCTCCCGTTGTTTTGCTGTTAGGTTAGAGGGTACTTTACTGTGTTCTAATCTGGTGTTAATGATGTAACACAGTTGGCGGAGGTGATGTTCCATGGCGAGGTTGGTGGTGGGTGGAGCACCAGCAAATAAATTATATACCCACTCACTGAATCAGTGCATTGATGACTTATATTATAAGATCGATAATTGTAAACAAAACATTTATTTGTTAAAATGTAGACTGTCTGGGAGACCAGAGTTTTATGAGATATGTCAAATGTTTAGTGATAACAACCACGATGTTAAGGAGTCATCTAAACAGAGATTGATTCATAAGTTTAATGCTCTCAGTACTCCCACCCACACCTATCAGTCTAATGTGTCACACGACTCCACCTCTACCATCGAGCCACCTAGCAGCAAAGTATCTGCGGTAGGCGTTGTCCTCAACGAGAATGAGACTAACGTCCTCAGCTTAGGCCCCAAGTTCGCCCTAGCACCCCGAGTAGATGAACGCCTCAAGAAAGATGTGCAGATCAGCCTTGCTCAGACCGCCTACCGGCTCCGCTGGAAAACCTGTTTTTCAGATGAGATCCCAGATGATACATGCCCGACCAGCTTCGCATTTATTAAGTCGAAAAACGTGCCATTTCAACGACCGTTTGCTGGTGCTCCACCCACCACCAACCTCGCCATGGAACATCACCTCCGCCAACTGTGTTACATCATTAACACCAGATTAGAACACAGTAAAGTACCCTCTAACCTAACAGCAAAACAACGGGAGGGACTCAAATCCTTGATTGCAAGAAAAGAAGAACTCCACTTCTCGAGAAGCGACAAGGGGGGTGAGTTTGTGATTATGAGCAGTGGAGTACAACAGCAGATTACGCAGAAACATCTGTCAGACATGACCTCGCAAGAAGCGTACACCTACGTTGCACCTACCACCACGCGACAAAATCGGATCCAACCAATAGCAAACCCCTCAGAAGTCTCCTACAGCCGCCTCATCAACAGGGTTACTGAGAGACTAGAGACTGAGAGTAATGTGTTATGGACAGAGATAAGTAGGATGTGTAATTATGACAGCAAAACAGTAGACTTATTTAAATCACATAATACCCAACTACCGACTATTTATTTAATACAGAAAACTCATAAATTTGATTGTAATGTCTTAGTTTCAGATGTAGATATTATTTCTAATTGTAAAATACGTCCAATTGTGTCTTGTATAAATTCCCCTTCTGAGAAGCTTGCTTGGATTGTTAAATCTATTCTATCTCCTCTGCTTAATCATGTTCCATCTCACCTGAGCAATATACACACTCACCTAGAAGAGCTTCAAAACATGTCACATCAACAACTCTCAGGTCTCTCATTCTTCACAGCTGACGTCACAGCACTGTACACAAACATCAA